GGCACATGTGAAGCTGAGCACAAGCTGTTGGCCATGCCATCCCTGCCCTGGGCACATGTGCAGTGCTGCCCGTCTGCTCCTTAGGGGCTGCGGCTGCGTCCTGGACTTGCTGTGCTGCCTCCTCTCAGTCTCTCAGTGGAGGCAGTCTGCAGGAGCCACGCTTGCAGAGAATGCAGCTGTCCACGTGCACAGGGCAGGTCACAGCAATCCACAATTCCAAGCTTCGTGGGCTGGACCCCACCACTTACCTGGTGTCGGTCTCTCTCGCAGAAGGGGCTGTACAGGTGCCAGATCCTAAGGGCTACAACTACGTGATCCACACTTGCTATGGGTTGTGTAACAGGTAAAGGTGTGTCCACAAAGGTGTTAGCCTAGAAGGTGCCAAGGGCAAGTGGACTCAGCTGCCCAGAAGGCTATGTGGCCCCATCAACAGACGCACGGGGGCTCAGGTAAGGCCCCGAAACCACTGAAGGGCAAAAGGGTTCAACAGGAGGGGTTCAAGCCTCTACAAGGCAGGCCTTGACTCCATGCCACCACCCAAGCCAGCAAGTCACTCCCCCAGGAGTGAAGGGCTGGGTTCCTGACGGAAGGGAAAGGGAGCTCCGGTCTTCAGAAGGCTGGTGCTGCACAGCAGGAGAGGGAGCCTGCAAAGTCAGGAATACGCACTATACATCAATGGGGCTCTCTCGCTTCCTCAGTCCTCAACTCTAGGACCATGGCACATGCTGGGTGCACCCCATCACTGAAAAGCTGGGGTGAGAGGCCAGGGTAAGGGGAGAAATGAAGGAGGGCAGGGTCCTGAAAGCATATCCCTGTGGCAAGCACAGGACCCATCTGCAAAGACTGCTAGGAGGAGAGGACAGGAAGAGAGAAGTATAGAGATGGCACTGAGCTGGCAGATGAGAACAAGGAATGGACAGGTGCTGGCAGAGACATGGGAGCCAGAGTCCCCATAAGAGAACAGGAGAAATAGCAGCCATTTGCAGAAAACGTGGGGAGAAGGAAAGGAGTCTCTGACAGTGGAAGGGGGAACTACATGAGGGCCTGATTTCAGGCAAAGCACAAGGTCACAGAAGGTGGCAAAACAGGGACAAGGCAGAAGGGAAGGGGCAGTGGCAGAGCCCCAGTTCTCACTGATCAGGCCACGAAGTGAGCAAGAGGGAGGCAGAGGGTGGCACAGCAGCTCTGAGTACCTTACTGAGGTTCACAGCCATAAATGTAGAAAGCATCACAAAACAACTAAATGTCACCTATGGTTCAGAACTGGACCCAGACTGTGGAAAAGCTATGCAGGATAGTGTGGGACAACTAGCATAACCAAAGTGCTTTAACCACAATGAACAATGTATCACAACAATGTTACTATCCTGTGACCTCTGTTCTTGTTATGTAAAATAAGGTACTTACAAGGTAACCACTGAGGTAGGCATGTTATCAGTGACTCAATATGAATCATTCAAAAACTTAGACAAGGGCTGCAAAAGACAGGGAAAATGGGACACAGGGCAACTCTAGGTGGGAACACAAGAGGCTCTGTGTAGTTTTTGTGATTTTTCTGTAAAAGCCTGAGGTAGGGGCCGAGGGGATGGCTCAGTGGAATAAGCGTTTGCCTGGCAAGTGCAAGGGCCTGAGTTCAATCCCTGGTTCCACAAAAAAAAAAAAGCCTGAGGTGGCATCATAGTTAAAAATTATCATTAAGTACTGAGCCAATGCCACATACCTTAGAGTGAAAACCACAATCAAATGCAATGCATAATCCCTGGATAGATGCTGAATCAGAGAAAACAACTGCTGTAAAGAACATTTTAGGGGCTGGGGAGATGGCTCAGTGGAAAAAGCGCTTCCCTGGCAAGTGCAAGGGCCTGAGTTCAATCCTTGGTTCCACAAAAAAAAAAAAAAAAGAAAAAAAAAAGAACATTTTAAGAACCATTTGGGGAGGTGGCTAGGGAGATGGCTCAGCAGCTCACCTGCCTGGCAAGTACAAGGTCCTGAGTTCTATCCCTGGAACCAAAAACAAACAAACAAAACAACATGTAGAAGAACATTTGGGGACATGTGAATAGTGATGGAGCATGAGTAGAAACTAGACAGCTGCCACCAGCCTTTCGGGGCTGACTGCCACCACACTGGGTCATGCGGGTCTTTCAGAGATGCAGCTGTATCTCAAGACAAAGACTCGCATCTGTGACTGTCTCTGAAATGTGCACAAAGCCAAAGGGTAACTGTTAAGTGCTGAGACCAGGTGATGGGCGCTCAGGTAGGCACTCCGCGCCACGGATGCTCACCTGAACATGAACACAGGCAGTCATCTACCTGAACTGCACACTCAATTACTGACAGCTCCTCGACAACTCTACGGCCCTCATAGCTCAGCACTTTCAGCCTAGTCCCACCCTGCTGCATCCCTATCCCCCTGGCTGGGCAAGGACCATGCCTTCATGCTGCACAGCCTGCACCGCAAGGACAATGGGAGCCACTCCTCTTCTGTCCCCAGCCAAGGTGTTTCTTTCCAGAGCTCCTGCTGCAGGCTACTTCCAGTGATCACCCCCCACCTCCACTCCCACAGTGAGTGCTGCCATAAAATGTGAATCCAGGGGCCGGGGAGATGGCTCAGTGGAATAAGTGCTTCCCTAGCAAGGGTCTGAGTTCAATCCCCGGTTCTAAAAAAAAAAAAAAAAAAAAGATGATCATTTGGGGCCAGGGAGATGGCTCAGCAGAGTAAGCACTTCCCTGGCAAGCGCAAGGGCCTGAGTTCAATCCCTGGTTCTGCATAAAAAAAAAAAAAAAAAGTGAATCCAGCCATGTCTCTGCCTGCCCTGAAACCTTCCAGGAGCTCTCAGGAGGACACTCAGGCCCATCACACCCTGGCCTGCCTCCCCTGTGCTCCAACTCCAGGGATACCACGGCAGGCACAGCCCTCTTTTGATCACGCTGCGTGGTACCCCTACCCAAAGACCCATGGAACTGTAGCTCTCCACATTCTTCCATGCAGGCTGCTTCTCCGCATTTGAGCTCTGCCCAGAAGACTTCAGTGACTAAGGCAATGACATGTGAGGTCGCCACAGTGCCCTACAGCAGCATTTCTACCCCACGGGAGGATACACACGACACCACCTTGTTCACCATTCATGGCCAGCTGTCTCCTCCCATGCTGGCAGGGGCTCTGCCTTATTCAAGGGACCCCATGTCTGGAGCAGAAGCCTTGTTATACTAAGAAAGGTTTGCTGAGTGAAATGCACACTAGATAAATTTAAAAAAACCACTGAAAACTTTCATTATTGCATCTCTAAGAACAAAAGTATGCATGCAAGTAGGGGGAAATCATTGTGGATATAATCAAGCACATGTGCTCAGGTCAGTGAAGTTCCAATTCTAAGACAGCTGAATTACTCTGCCTGTCCTGATGAGTCTGATAATCTGGCCCAGAAATAATCTACAAATGCAATGCCATTGCACTTCATAAATATCCAGAAAACATGCAAAACATAATATCCAAAATAAAGAGCTTGGGAGATGGCTCAGTGGAATGAGCGCTTCCCTGGCAAGCGCAAGGGCCTGAGTTCAATCCCCTGTTCCGGAAAAAAAAAAAAAAAAGAAAAAAAAAAAAATCCCATAAAAACCATAATATTCATGTGTTTTTAATATACTTAATTAAAATTTATTTAAAAGGTTTTAAGTACCTTTACTGTATTATGGAATTTCATCAGCAGTGATGTACTGTGAACAGGTACAGAGCCAGACATTAAGTCACTTAAAAACACTGAAGCTTTATTTTATTACAACAAGCCAGCAGTCTACCACCAACGAACTTAAACAACTATATATAAATAGCTGTAAATGACTCAATTAGAATAACACCAACAGAGCAATGCTTTACAATGCATGAAATGCATAATTAAAGAGGGAATTTGGGGCCAGGGAGATGGCTCAGCAGAATAAGCACTTGTCTGGCAAACACAAGGGCCTGAGTTCAAACCCCGGTTCCGCAAAAAAAAAGAAGAAACAGGGAATTTATGCAATCATGCAACTTGCAAGGTGTAAATGTTGCAAGGAGGAGGGAAAGGACAGAAACACTCCTACTGCAAGGCCACTGGCCACAGTGTTCTTTCTAACAGGCTCTAGATTTCTGCCTCTGTCTTACCCCACCCACTCTCTAGACGCCTGCTGGGGTGAACAGCAGTAATTGCCCAACAGCTTGGCCAAGATACAGGTCCCTGTGGATTTATTGATTTCACTAAGGTTTAATCACAACTTGCATGACAAAAAGTCACTGACACTGACCACAATTCTTTTTTTTTTTTTTTTTTGGCAGAACTGGGGATTGAACTCAGGCCCTTGCGCTTGCCAAGGAAGCGCTTATTGCACTGAGCCATCTCCCCGGCCCCTGACCACAATTCTAAGGCCTGTCCTCCCCAGCACTGTAACTCCAAGGCATGCCACGTAACCAACTCATGACTGCCACCTCTCTTCCTCTGTGTTCCCTGGGGCTGGCTGAACTTCCCCTCAAAACAGGAATCTGGCGATAGAACCAAAGGAGGCTTGCCAGTTATCACGCACTTCAGGTCAGCTGAATCAAAGTGGCCCGCAGGTTGCTAGGGAGCCAGAAGCGCCCAGGTGCTGAAAACCTGGGTCGTTCCTTGTCCCTCAGCCCGCAGAAATGCAACCGGTTTGCCTTTGGTTTGCCTTCTGAGGGCAAACACCACATCCTACAAGCTCGTTGGACTCCAGCACAAGACACTGCACACAGTGGGTCTGCAAGATGCTAACAACTGCCACTTGCAGTCACTTATACACTATAGTTTCACAACCAAGTCTAGACTGCAATTCCTACTTCAGTAAGTGACAAGTTACATTATTACCATGTAGAGTTTTGTTCACACTGTGCTTATTTTTAACATTAAATTCCAAGAAATGTTAATTTGAGTTACCCTAGAGAAAATGCACTGGAACACTGCTAAGTAAAACTTGTGAACAGCTACATGGCCTATTTAAATACTAACCTTCTTAAGAGAATCCCCATGTCTTTCCTGAATGTACTTCAGAAATGCTGTGGTCCACTGAAGCGTTGTCGCCTTATCCGTCTCCGCGTTGCAGAAGGGAACTAAAAGATTAAGCTCATCACAGCAAATGCGGATTCTGCGCCTACAATCAAAACCCATGTAGTAATCACACAGAGCAGCTAATGAGCAAAGCAGCAGAAGCAGTTCAGGCTCGATCAAGGAAGCTGAGTTCATGGAGCTAGTCTGAGTATGGGCGCTGGGCCCCAGCCTGGGAAGCCCACGTAAGCCTGGCAGGGCCTGTGGCTGTGCTCCTGTCCAGAGGCCACTACTGACTCCAGGTCACCAGAACACCTGAGGGGCTCACATGGGCCCCCGTCCCAGCAGTTTTTCCTATGTACTCCTCAGGGGTCAGATACATCCCTCTACACCCGGGACAGTTCTATCAAGAACCAAGATTAGAAGTTAAACTCCATGTGGGTAAATCATGCTTTCTCCTGAGAACATTAGATTTGTTCTCCATGTGCCAAGTGCTACAGCAGGGACTCACACATAGCTTTCAGGTGCTTTGAGATGCCTGGACTTAAAAACCCAAATCCCACTCTGTTAATATCCAGAAGCCTAGTCCATCTAGAGCATGTAAAGCACAGCTTGGATCTTACTATTTTACCATTTACATCTTACATCCACTAACATGCCAAGTCTGACCTAGGCTGACACTCGGCACCTAAGACAATCTAGCCCCATTACATATCTTCACACTTGTAATCCTAGCATTCGAAAGACTGAGGCAAGCCTGCTGTGAGTTCAAGGCTACCTTTTGGGCTATACTGTGAGTCTAAATCAGCCTGAACTACAAAGCAAGATCCTGTTGGGGGGTGGGGGCAGTAAACTGCCTTGGCTCAATATTCAATCCTGGAGTCATAGAGCTGAATATGTCTGAGTGCTCTTTACCTGACCCTAACACAGAAAACTGGTACACAGTGCTCATAATAAATGACTAACTTCATCACGTATTACTACTAGGGGTACCCTATGAAGAAACCTAATTGCAACAGAAAAATTAGCCATCTTTCAGTCTACATAGGAGAGCATGGATAAAATCCATAGAATAGACCATTTCAAGGGCCAGTGACACAGCTCAGCAGACTAAGTGCCTGCTTAGGCAAGCATAGGGACCACATACTAGCACCTCCCCAAGACCGGGTGTGGTGGCAGAGGCCTGTAATCCCAGCGCTGGGGAGGCTGAAAACAGGAGGATCACTGCGAGTCCGAGCTGTGTAGTGAGACCCTGTACCAAATACGTTAAAAGAAAAAAAAAAAAAAAAAAAAGAGGGTTTATCAAATACTACCAGACACGGAAGACAGAATTTCTGTGCCCACTCAGGGAAAGAGCTGGGAGCCAGAAACTGGTGGACAGTTACAAGGTGGGGCCCTGAATTACTGAGGGGAGTGGACGGGTCTCCAAGAATGTGGCTGCCAGTGGATGAGGGTGCAGGAGACGCTGGGGTCTCAGGACTCTTACAGAACTTGTCAAGGACCTCAAGAGCTTTTGTCTGTGTGGGATTCAGCCGCTTGTATTTACTGCATTACAAATTGAAATTTAGGTGCTGAAGCCATATTCACGAACATTAAAAACAAGGGCCAGGTGTGATGGTGTACTCCTGTAGTCCCGGTACCTTGGAGGAAGAGGTAGGATTGTGAATTTGAAACCAAGTTGGGCTACATGGTAAGATCCTGTTTCAGAAATCTCAAATAACATTAAAACAAGACTGAAGGTCTAGTTTGGTGGTAGAGTCCATGTTTAGTATGTGTGAAGTTTCTGAGTTTGATCCCTACCACCAAGAATAATAAAAGCAATAATCATGGTAACTTTTTTTTTAGATCAAGTCTTGCTATGTGCTCTACACTGGCCTTAAGCATGTGATCCTCATGCCTCAGGCTTCCAAGTAGCTCAGATTATAGGCATGTGCCCCTGATACCAACAGTTGTTAGTGGTTTTTTTTTTTTGTTGTTGTTGTTTGTTTGTTTGTTTTGTTTTGTTTGCTTTTGCTGTGCTGGAGATTGAACTCAGGGCCTTATGCATGCTAGGCAAGCACTCTACCACTGAGCTACATCCCAGCCCTCATTACTGTTTTTGTTTGTTTGTTTTTTAAAAAATGATTGTATTTTCCAAGACCAAATATTTTTAGTGCCTGTGGATTTTTTTTTTTTTTTTTTGGTATGGTTAAGTCCCCAATTTGCAAATGAGTTCTGTGCAAGGAGAATGTTTGTAAGTTGGATTTGTTCAAAAGTCTGACCAAGTGAAACTTACACTCCTTTGACACAAACATTCACTGTAGATAGCTTAGCGCCTGCTAGCCGTCCCCTCACAGCACCACTGCTCTTCCTCTTGCTTCCACACATCCTGGGCTCTGACGGAGCACTGTGAGACTATTGTCCACTCTTGCACTGCACAGTACGCACACAGCATTGTGACTGCAACAAGGCCTGGCAGACCCACGAGCTACTTTTGAGATTTGTTCCCAACTACAAATGTCTATAATACAAGGTCTTTAGAAGCTCGCAACTTGAATAGTTGTAAGTTGGAGACTTACTGTACTGGGAATTGAACCAGGATATTTACACTGAACTGCTTCCCGAAGACATTAAAAAACAAAAACAAAAACGAAAAAAGCAAGGTCTCACGAAAGTCACTAAAATTGCCTGGGCTGGACTCAAACTTTCAATCTTCCTGCCTCAGCCTCCCAGAGTGT